AAAAAAATAGTGATTATATGATTTTAATGAAAATTTTACAAAAACTATTCCATAATTTTTACTCATTTTTTTGCTTTCTTTTTTAAATATAAAATCATTTAAGTGTGTGAAAGTATTTTGGTCAATACATAATTTTTTATAAAATACAAAGAGTTACAATTTAAAAATTATATTTCTCTTTGATATTGTAGTTGATCCTAAATCTTATTCACTTTTGCACATTAGATCTTCTTCGTAGTTCTCCTTAAAGTATTGATCACCTTGCATCTAAATTTTAATTTTCACAAATTTTCACGCGTTTCTCAGCCTCCAGATCTTAGAAGTTTTGTAATAATTGAATAGAAAAATATGCATAATTAGGAAATAATTTATTATAAAAATGAATATATCCATTCTCTTCCATAATTAATTGTACCAAATGACTTCATACCATAGTATTAACTTATTATTTTATATAATATATTTTACGTGTCAGAAATGTCTCGTAAACAACATCACATCTCAGCTTCTTAGAAATTAAAATATCAATTTTATAAATAAAGGATCAATTATAAAAATATTTGATTCTTTCATATAAGAATACTTTTAGATGAAAATATATCATTATCAAAATTTTGTTTTTTGTGTATTCACTTAGTTAAAAATTTGATTCATAAAATGCTAGTCTAGAAATGGTAAGTGATAATACCAATTTTATATTTTCACTATTTTTTTGCTACATCGTAATAAGTTTTATCATAAAATTATATTTTATATAATTGCTTTCCTTTAATAATTTTATTTCGGACAATACTATATTTATCTTTCACAAATTTGATTTTATAACATAATTAATTAATTTTATCACAACATAACAAATAAATAAACGAATTGCTTTTTAAAAATAAAAATATAAAAACTCAACTAATGTCACGAAGTAATGAATTCTTTATTTTTCCTAAATTTTTTTAAGTAAAATTTTTCCAAAATTTGAAATCATTATTAAATTTCTATTTTAAAATAAAAAGAAAGGTTAATTCATCATTAATAAAATTTGCCACATAAGCAACTAATAAAGGCTTGCGATCTCACCTTAATATAGCACATAAGCTTGACACTTGGCGACTTTCTAGAAAACGGAGTCTCAAATATTATATTAAAGGATTATATTGTTTATAACTAAAAAGAAATGTTTATACAATCCTTTTTTAATTATGAAATATTATAAAAGGTTAAGTGAAATTGTAACAAAAATCACTCTAGCTTGGATGGTAAGGAACTCATCTAATTGACTAATAGATCTTGGGTTCAAACCCCATGCTGGTATGCTTTTGGAAAAAAATTGCAAAAAAAAAACTGGTCCGACTGGTTCGACCAATCGGTTTGTCTAAAAGGGTGACACATCAGCTCTGCTACGTGTCGCGCTTTAGCTCTGCCAAATGTCACGTTCTTGTAGCTCGGAGTCTCCTTTATATATATAAAGGATTATATATATAAAGGATATATATACTAGCATTTTGACCCGTGGCACGGGGTCGAACGAATGTCTTGTTGATTTTGAATTTTTTTCATTGTAGTATTCTTTTTGGAATAAAGAAATATATTTCTTACATGATTTATAATAACATGGAGAAAAAAAGCCAAAGTAAAATTAATAATTTTTGAGGAATGAAATGTGTACACAATAAAGTTTGTTTTAATACCAAATTTTTTGAAAGTCCTTCAGGGTATATTTTGAAAGGTATTGAGTGGACTGTCATCTGGAAATGGCATACCACTGAATTCTCTTAAAGATCATCCATTTGAATTGAACAACTTTTCAATCTCAATCAGACATAAGTTATTTAGAACTTCTCGAGAAATTATAAGCTCTGAAAAAAGAATTAGAAAAAATAAAAGTTAATTAATTCTCACACAGTACTGTATAAAATATTTGTTTTCAAGACAATGCATTACATATGGATTAATATGTTAAAAAAATATTTCTCTATTGAAATACCTTGATTACGCAATAGTCTCCTTTGATCAAATAAAATTCCATCCAACAGTAGTTCCCATGATTTTTCCCAAACAATTTGGGGGCGACTCATTGTCACTAATAATGTGACGAACAACTTTTGTCCCGCATTATACTTTGAATTGGCAATCATCCAAACTTCAACATTGAAGGTTTGTAAAAATTTTGTATGGCAACGTCTTTAAGATTTTGTTGCTCTTTAAAAGTGACAAATTTCTGTCATGAGAGATGAAAATTTAACCTCAATACTGCTGGCCACCTGTGGTGTATGTCAAAAGAGAGAATTCTCCAAGATGCTTCACATGCAGATATGTAACGACAATCATAGTATTTCTCTGTTTCAACACGCACATCTTTGCCAACAGTGCCACAGTTAGATTGGGTAACTACAATAGTTACTCTATCCGGACCCTTATTGATATATTTAAAGAGATATTTGATTGAATTAGATTTGTTGCAATATTTAATATTGATGTGAGCTTGATACCTCATCAAGAGTTGTGGGTTGTATGGCACAACAAATCGATTATCCAACTCGATATCCTTTCTTCTTGTGGTGATACCCATGTTTCTTCTTCTGTATATTGGGTACCCATTCTCATCAAACGATGTCTTGCCAACAAATTTTTTCAGGAAATATTTTTTGCATCTTCCATCGTCCATACATGGAGATCTAGCATCATCTATGCCACAAAGATTAATCCCGATGAATCTTCGTTGATATCATAATGGAAGAATAATATTTTGCAGAGATTAATCCCGATCAATATTCATTGATATCCCAATCAAAGATTTTACAGAGATTATGGCAGGGATGTGCCTGGAAGACTGATCGAATATGATTATCGCAGGGAGAAGCAATTGAAGGAAAGTTCCAATCACATTTTCGTTGATATCTCGCGGTGGAGCCGTTCGAAGATGATTATCGCATGGAGGTGCAATCAAAGGAAAGTTCCACATGTTCGCTGATATCTTGTTTCCTTCTTGCGTTGAGACTTGCGGATGAATGTCACAGTCTCACAAATAGAGTCGCCCAAATAAATGAATCATTATCCAACCCGTTTGAAATATTGAGGAAGTCCATTTTGATGACATGGCT